CTTTCTCTAGGACTCTCTCTCTCTAAGGATGTTGATTGTCTCTTCTCTTACCTTAAACTGGCCATAACCCCATTTTATAGCCAAAATAGGATTCCCATACATTTTAGGTAGTTGAAACCTTATAATATTGTATTTTGAGAGATTTCCAAAAAGTAGCTCCGACAGGTTTAATAGGGCAACCCTTCTATCAAAAGCCTACTGGAACCATTTCAATCGATTAATACATTTTGATACCGAACTGAATTTTGATCGATCAACCATTCGATGGATGCTCTCTGGAAAAGATTCGATTGATTGACCAAAGTACATTGTTTACTTGCTTGATGTCCAGTTTTACTAAGGTCTGTTTATGAGAACATGTTTATGAGACCAACCAAAATAAAAACAAGTCAAACTAAGGTCTTACTAAAGTCAATTTACTTGTTACCTAAATGTCTGTTTGACAATGCAGTTTGCCATATTCTTCGCAAGGGTTAAGTGCATCAAACCCCCCTGAACATTTTTCTCTCTCTCAAAAAAACCCCCTCAACTATTGAAAAGACACTTAACCCCCTCAACTATTCAATTGGTTGCAAAATGTTAAGTGGCCGTCTGAAATCTAACATGTCCAAGGAAAGCACCTGGCGCCGTGATTAGACAAAAATCTTAATAGACAAAAATAACCTTATGGTTATTAAATGAATATTATATATACAAATATAAATATAAATATATATATATATATACACACACTCGCGTCCTTCCTCTCTCTCCCCAACCACTGCCCGTCCATGGACATCACCTCCACCGTCCGTCCAAGGCTGCCACCGCCACTGCCATCGCTCTCTCCCCCACAAAGACTCTTCTTCTCTCATAACCACCTCCACCATCCACGACCGCCGGCACCCCCTCTCTCTTTACAATCCACCTCCCTTTTTTTTTTTTTTTTTCTCTCTCTCTCTTTAACCTCCATCTCCAGCGGTGGCAAGAACGATTTAAGGTGGAAAATAATTCAACAAAAAAATTGTTTTTGTTGTACATGTTAGTGTTTGGAAGGGAATTGATTGAAAGAAAAAAAAAATTTTGGGGCAGTTGCGATTGAGTTGATTTGATGGTCAGCGACAACAGATTTTTGGGGTTTTTGCGACTGAATTTTTAACTTTTGTGATTTGGTCTTGCGACTAGAATTTGGGGTCTTGTGATTATGTTTCCAACGATCGTGGTCTTTGATTTTGCAGCAAAACAGAGATATCTTCTCGTTTTGGTTCATTGCAAGAAAGTTGGGGCTAGAAAACAGAGAACAAGAAGATAAAAAAGCAGGGGGGCGTTGTCGCTTGTTCTAACTTGTGTTAGAGGTGAATTAGAGAGAGATAGAGGTGGGAGAGGCGGTGATGGCGTCCATGGATGGTGGAGGTGGTTGGATGGTGGAGGTGGTTAGTTGGGGAAGAAAAAATAATAATATTATTTTATATATATATATATATATATTTATGGAAATAAATAATAGGGTAAAGTGCAAAAAACTCCCTTCAACTATTGGCCATTTAGCAGAAAACCCCCCTAATCTAATAATTTGGCAAATAACCCCCCTGAACTAACATGTTTGTTGCAATTAACCCCAGTCCGGTGATTAGCCGGTTGAATTTGACCGGGAAGAAGCACATGACAGTCACGTGACAGCCCAAAATTTTTTAAATGACCATACAACCCTTTATGAAGTTAAAAGACCACAATGCCCCCTCACCATTACTATAAAACGACTTATTTTTAGTCTTTAACTACTGACGTGACCGTGACCGATCGATTGGAGTAGCTCTCGCTGCCAAATTCTAACGTTGGAGTCGCCGGGATCTGACGTTGGAGTTGCCGCTCCCGAAGTCATCTCACACAAGTTCACGAAGTGATCTCTCGGCGTAGGTGATTATCGCGCTCGTTAGGGTTGGGGCTTTCACGCCTCAAGCCTTCCTCGCATCAACAATTTTCTTGAAAAATGCTATGTCCACGATCGATAGCTCCTCCTCCTTCCTCATTCATGCCATAACTGAGCAAAGACCAAATATCTCTTCAACCTTCTTTTTTTTTTTTTGTGGGTAAAATCCTTGCAACGACTACCGGGCGGACTCTGATGACCACAAATATCATAACTCATGTTTTCTCAACTCTCCAATCATTGATTTGATCAATCGATGAAAGCTTGGATCCCTGATTTTAGACCAGATGATGGATTGATATATATGCATCGAATTTCTTGAAATTTTGTTCTACAAGTATGTCAAATAGGCATCGGCGTCGTCATCTCCATCATCAGAGAAACAACACTAATAATTAAAAAAAAAACAAAAAAAACAGAGAAATCTTTCTCAGCCGATGGTCTTTTTAGCCTCGCCGGAATTGCATCACCATGGTTGATTCCGCCAAAATCACATCACCGCCGTGAGCCGCGGTTTGCTGGTGGTGTCATTCACGTACAACGGCGAGATGCGGTTTAATCTGGAGAGCGTGAGGGGATCATATAAGGGTTTGAGTGCCGAATACGATCGACAAGTCGAGTTTTGAAGAATTCGCCTTCCAGGATTCTAGCCATTAATTCACACTATCCTGGTGGTGTGTTCTTATCATCTTTGGTGGTTATGCAATCCGACGGTGCCTTTAATTTCGCTATGTTACAAAGGGAGCGATGAAAATTAGGGTTCGCAGAGAGAAAGAGGGGATGGTGGTTTGGCAGCCTTTCGAGGTGGCGGTGGGCAGTGGAGAAGAGACAGAAAACGGTTGTACTGTGGTGGTCAGGAGTTGGCAACTGGAGGAAATGGAGAGGAGAAAGGGGAAGAACTGTGAATATAGAGGGGAGGGGACGATTTGCTCGAGTTTAGTGTCTAAGGGCTGTTCAGACTTCAATTTTCAATTTTTTTTCAGAATTTATTTTTTTAGTTCTACTTTTTTGTGGATAAAATAACATCAAAAAATTGGTGGTTGTTAAAATTTTATGAAACGACGTGGTTTTATATAGGGGTAAAATTGTCTTTTACTATTTCCGTTATAACTAATTGGCCGGAGATGTCACATAGGGGGTTAATTGCACCAAATTCAATAGTTCAAGGGGGCAAATTGTAGTTCAGGGGGGTTAATTTCACATGGCCAATAGTTGAAGGGAGTTTTTTGCACTTTACCCTAAATAATATTATTTTTAATATTTTAAAATTAATAATTGAGTTGTAATCCTCTTGACCTGTCAAATTTTCATTGAATAATGATATTACAATGCCGCATCAACAACAAAAGTTGGATATCAATGATATGACCTCGTTTAATTAATGGGCAAAATGGTAATTTTATGTTTTAGTTAACAGTTGTTTGACACCGTAGGGTTAAGTGCAACATTCTTATAGTTTAGGGGGTATTTTTTAGTTTAAGGGGGTTCCTTGCAATTGGCTCATAGTTGAGGGGGGTTTAGTGCACTTAACCCTTCTTCGCAATTCAGAGCATTCTATGTCTTCAATAAACATGTTGGACGCCCCCCTTAAATTTAGGCTTCATATTAGCTTATATCTTCTGTTACATGTGTTTAGGCTTAATTATAGGCTATCATATAAGGGCAAGGCTTGTAAGCAAGCTTGGTAGTAGTGCCTACCCATTCTATCTCGCCCACTTGCCGGCCCATAAATTCTTCAGGTGGGCCAGCAGGCCAAGCAGAAAGGGTCTTACTTGATGACTTTGCTCACATGATCAATCGTCTGGGGCTCTTGGATCCCCTCTATCAATCGAACTCATTACTAAACTCAAAGTATTACACGTGTTTAGGCTTAATTATAGGTTTGGCTTACATTTAGACTTGCCTTTGTACACGTACTTTTTGTTACACATATATAAATACCCCGAATGAGATGAATACAATTTAATTGAATATTCACAATTCTTTTAATAACTTTCACAAAACATCCACAAACTAGTCAAGACTCTTTGAAACATTACAACATAGGTTTTGAGTAGGAACATGCTAACACATGAATCAATATCCAAACATATACCACAACAACCTTTCGACAGAGAGTTATACAACCCAAATTTTTTGTTCTTTTTTCCTGTTTTTTACCCAAATTTCATACTTCTCTTTAGCATGACTCTTAAATTCTGAGATCTAGCCTCTAAGAGTTTTAAACACAACACCTGAATTTAGAGATTGAATCAAAAAATCCTAAGACTCAATTCAATCGGTAGAATTTAAATTTTTTTCCATTTTTTTTTGTTTTTGATAAAAAAGATTGTGTTAGAAAGCGATCAAAAGGGGACCACATCCCACAAGAACTACACAATTATTGTTTAACTCTCATTTTTCAATTAATTTTCTTAACTTTCATTTAGTTTAAGTTTATATTAAATATGAAGAAATTGTTTAACTTGGTTTATTGAATGCGGTTTGGGCCCTCCCAGATTATATGTTTATGATTCATTGAGACTAGAATATTGTTCGAATGTGTGTGAATTCAACCATTAGTATGGGGTTCTACTATTAGAATATATGTGTAGTACATCTTAGTAGAGTTGGATAAGGTTGAAAATATTCACTGCTCCAATGCCCATTACCGTTATGTAACCCCTGTTGCACCCATTAAACTGAAGTTTACATAAAACCACAGTTGTAACTCCACGCCTTAGAAAACCCCAGCTTAGACTCCACATTTTAACTATTACTCCCTCTGTCCCAAAAAAAAATGTCCCTTTTGGGGAACTGTGAGTTGAGTCACAGTTCCCTAAAAGGGACATTTTTTGGGGGACAGACCGACAAAGGGAGTAATAATGATAATCCCAGTTCCGACTGCCAAAAAATAATCAAAAAACCACTATATATGGTTGATTAGCAACAGCAAGATGACTTTACAGATTCACCAATCAGAAAAACTTTACCAGATTCATGCATATTTTATCATATAGAATAATGACATGGGTGATTATCACGGATAGAAGGTAGAAAAACTGCAAAAGAGTTTTCACAGTCAATGCAAAGAGCAAGGTAAGACACATACCCTGAATGGCAAGATGTTCAGCTTCTCCAAGCCAGGAGCCATACTTAGCACCTTCTTACCATGATCAGGATCATATAAATCCCTCTTCTCGGTAGGGTGACCCATGCCAGCAGGATCACGACCAACAATGTAGAAATTTGCACCTGCATTAATTCGTGCCTTGGCATGCCATTGTACTTCAGTTGGACCTGCATAATGCATGGGTGATGGGAATATGGCCACAATAGTAGTCTCAGGGTCAAGGACTCCATCTTCTAGGACCTGGGCAAGAACGAAATTCTTAATATATATGTATATATGCATAAATATTTGTTGTAGACATATGGAAAATGAATTCTTCTATCACAATTTCAATAGCACTGAAAATACAAGTTCATAATTCAGAGTGAATTCATGGCCAAAAGAATTATAAAATTTATAAATGACAGAAGATTCAGTTTATGCAATCATAGAAATTATATGAGATCGTGTTTAGAATGGCAGTAGATTCCACTAAAATATACTATGATTTAAGGGGGAATGAGTGAACTCATTTTTACAGCTATGTCTAATAAAAGTTTTGTTTTCATATGGCCTAAAAATCCGATCTTATTATGCATAAGCATTAAGAGCAGACTCGATAGAAAGAGTCGAGTAGAAAGAATTGGTGACAATAACCTTGCTATGTTGTTCCATACGAACATCCAATGGCACATCGTCAGCCTTTGTGAAACCTCCCAAAGGATGAAGCAAAAGAACTGGATTCTTGTATCCCATTTCCAGAAGTCTCCTGCGTGTATCATTCATTAACAAAGCATGCCCATTGTGCACAGGGTTCCTTAGCTGGAAAGCAAAAACTGCATCAGCCTGACGCTTGTCAAATTCTTTCCGAAGTTGTCGGGGAGAAAGCCTGTAGTTGTCAAGACCATCATTATATTTGATATGCTTTAACACTTCTAGATCTCCACCAATGAGCCAATTGCCAGCTGGAGTGATTACCTCCTCAACATAAGGTAATCCTGGAGCAGCTGTTCCCCAAGTTCTAGCTATTCTTTCTTCTTTGTTATGTTTGTATATTTCAATGCTGCAAAATAATTTTGAAATCAAGATATATTCTAATTTCTAAAGATATGGTAAAGGCAATCAAATAGCTGAACGGAATTGAGTTGGCATGCAATTTAGTTGTAGTCCAACTTCTGTGGCAACGAAATAAGAATTTACAATAATCAATAATGCAAGAGCATCAGTCAAGCCCAATACAAACCCATTTAACTTGAAAACTACAGAATGGCTAAAAGAGAAATTAGTCAAATAAATCAAATCAAACTTGGTTCAAATACACACACACATGCACATGCACACACGTGTGCACAGATAGACACACACAAATGCACACACGCTGAGGGACCGTGGAGAAGTGAATGTGCCTTAAGACTTTCAGAGGGATCCTAGCAAAGTGCATTGTATTTGTCACGACAAACACAACAAACCCAAGATAAAACCAAGAATCACGACAAAAAATAAACACGCCACACACAAAGAACACAAAGATTTGGTGTGTTTCGGCAAAACCTATATCCACGGTGGAGATCCAACGAAAGTTTTCACTATACAAATATAGGAGATTACAAGTTTCAGCCCCTCACACTCTTTCTGTGCGATTTTCAATGTCTCTATCTATCCCACTCCAAAACCTTAGTGCCCTTATATATCGGGCTACAAGAGAGTACTAATTAGGGTCCATGACCCACAAGCAAAAAGCAATCACACACAAACCCAATATATAACGTGGTTCAACCAAAACCGACTTACATCCATGGATGAGAAGAGATTCCACTACGATTTGCAGAGATATTACAACAATATTATAGTTTCAATACCATGTACATGCCTTTTCACCATGTACCACTCCACGAGTCTATCACCTCACTATAAGTGCCACCAGTGTTTTTCCTACTCTACCAACCCATAAACTACCTCTACCCATCAATTCCCTAATAAGACTACATCTCTCTCAATCTCATAAGTCTCAACCCATAACCTAGGTGCCTATTTATAGAGTTCCAAACTCAATTCCTTGTTGGACAAGGATTACCATTCTTTGGAGCCCAAGACTTGCTTTACCAGATTTTTCCTAATATAATACAACTCTCAAATAGAAAACTAATAAAATTAGGAATTTGAGACATAATTTCCAACAATCTCCTCCTTGGCTCAAATTCCGTGAAGCCAATTGTCGCTTCCAACAGCATTGATCAGGACAATTCATTGCAGCTTCAATCTTGACGATTCTTCTGCAAAATTATCATTGTCCGCACCCTCGATCTATCTAACCTCTAAAGCTCCACCTTGACTACTCGAACTCCATACAATGTAACCCATCACAATTTTTGACCACTGTGACCAACCAAGCCGATTGACTCCACCTGCAAGGCTGCAATTGAAACCCGTTGCAGCTAGACCTGTCAATGGATCGAACTTTGATCCAAATCCGATTCAATTATCTAGATATGGATTGGGAAAAATCCAATAATCCAATAATGATCTAAATCCGATAATCCATTACCTTAACAAATCAGATATAGATTATAGGTAATCCGATCCCATTAAAATTATATATATATATATATATATATATATATATATATATATTTTTATTACATTACAATATACTATATATGAATGTTATATATATTAGTTATTTACTATTAAATTTGTATATATTAATTATTTACCATTACATTCATTTGGTTGCATAGTTATATTATGCTCCATCCTATATATTAACTATTTTCTACTCTATCTAACCTTATAACTATACATGTTAGTAATATGATTTTAATCCGAATCCGATCCGATCTGAATCCGAACTAAATAGGATATGGATTGGAACATTCAATCCGTTAACCGATTAGCGATCCAAATCCGATAATCCATTAGTTTAACAAATCAGAATCCGAATCCGATCCGTTGACAGGCCTAGTTGCAGGCTTGCGGCACTTGTTGAGACTTCTTGTGTTTTCTGGATCTCCTTCACCTTTGGCTTGGATACCAATTTGTTGGGACAGCGGAAGTGCGCGGACACAAAGATCCAATGAAAGCCAACAATATTCAACCCCCAATTTATGCTGGTTGTCCTAAAATGTGCAAGCCACATAAAGCTTCTAGTTTCAACGAAGTTTTGGTTTCTTAAAGAACACAATAGCATAATAGAATGATCAACATGACAATATCAGGCACAGTTGACCCACTCAGAGTGATTCATGTAGTTTCTGTATGCACTCAATAAGAATTTGAAGAGGCAATCAGCAAATGAATATTTTGACACTACTTAAAAGTTACTAATAGGCATTGAAGTTTTGCTCAAGCTTTACAAATTATCAGCAGAACAATTCAGTAACATCTGATTAGATTTGTTTAAAGTGGAAAATGTAAAAGTACTTAAAATTGGAAATGGCGCTGTTGTTTTAAACTAACAAACTACTCTTAAATCCATGGCATTACCTAACAGAATAGCCAATTGGGATTATTATATCTCTTCAGAGCACATCTGGACAACTCAAAGCTTCATGAACTGAAAAGCACATGCATACTTTCATCAATTTATAACTACTGGTCTACTAGGGAAATGCCATTTCTTCCTGAAAGCCCAAGAGAATCAAAATTGACTCCATTCCAAAATTGAGGTCTTTACATGATTATAATCAATAAATCTAGTGAGGATGTACTCATAGAAGGAAAAAGTTCAGCTGAACCAAAATAGACCATATAAAGCAACCAACCATGTCTAACACTGTCATTTGTTACTAGCCATAACACATTAAAGATCATATATCATAATCAGCACCATTACCTTTATCCTATATAAATAGGGCCAGTAACATGAATCTCTTTTTCCATTCTTTTTTATTACAAACCATGTCTCCTATTATATTTATTATTTTGAGATCATTGGTAATTACTATGACCATACTGCATTGAGTCTACTTTCTCTTATTTTATCACTAATAGGCTTCACTCATACTTTCTTCCTCACATGTGGATTATTAATCATATCTTTTCTAGCACTCCTGTCATCTATCTCAACATTCTCATTTCAGTTACAAAATATTGGGCAATTTAAATGTTCCATAATTATTTGAAAAAAAAATTATTTGCACAAAAAACAAGTTCAATAGCAAAGAATGAAAAGGCCAATTCAAGGAAGACTAACCTCCTAAGAATACCGACAATATCACCATTAGGCCCAATCAAAGCGACATTTTGCGCCGACCCAATTCGTTCTTTAACCTCGTCATCAATGGCTAGAACAATTGGCAAGGACATGTTTACGACGGACCCATCTTTCATTCTCAAACAATTGAAATGCAGACTCTGCAAATACTCATCCTCTCTCATGAACCCTCCCAACGGGCTCGCCCAACCCTCACTGATCACGTGAACCCATTGGAGATCAATCTTTGTTAGCTTCACTGCCGGCATTGATTCGGCCTCCGAAGTCTTGAGAGACCGTTCGCTCTCTGGCACCCCAACATCGACCAGTGACCCACCATCTGGGTCGATTAGAGAGCTCTTGATTGTAGAAGAAGAAGATTTAAGGGAATGAGTAATGGACATTTTGTGATCAAACACGAGTGGGATTAGTGGGTTTGAACGATGGGGGGTGAGTTTGGGTCGAAGCTTTCTTGTGTGGATTGTGGTGGTTTGAGAGGTGAGGTAGAGATGTGTGCTAGTGACGTGTTGTAGTCTGATTGTTAGGGACATTGTGATGATGAGAAAATGTTTATAATACACCAACTGTTGGGAATGACTTTGTTTTTGGAATAGAATATTGAGATCCGTCAAAACTGGGGACTGTAGTACAACTCTATATTTGATGGACATCTTTGTGAGAAGCAAAAACATATAGATGCCCTCTTCTGAAAAGACATCCACAAGTTTGTTTCGACTTTATGTTAATGGAGGTGGGTTTTTTGCGCTAACTGCTTATTTATTATTTCATTTTTTTTTCTTTTTCTTATTTATTTATTTATTTATTTATTTTCTTTCTTAGGCTTTTCCTAGAACTCATCAACTTCTTATGTTTTTTCTTCCTTGGGCCTATTCCATCACTGAAAACATGCAATACCGTCCCATGTCATGTGAAAAAAGAAATAAAACTATTTTTGACTTAGGCGTAACTTATCGATATATTCGTTTTATCAACAATATTTAGAGTATATTAATTGGCATCTCAATGAATTATTAAATTATAACTCTTTGAAAATAAAAGTATTCATATGAACAATGTTTAAAGAGTAATAATTGTCACCTCAAAAGAAATAAAATAAGGTTTTTCATTAATGAATATATGAAAACTATAAACATTTAAAAATATATATAAAAATTAAAATTCTATAATTTACAAAACATTCATAAATAAATACTATATAAAAATTCTATATATTATAAAATCCGAAAGGGTACCAACAATGTTTAGATTGTAATAATTGTCACCTCAAAAGAAACAAAAATATATTAGAAAATCCAAAACTATAACTGTTTGAAAATGAAAATATTCCTAAATTATTTATTTCTCAATCTTTATCTTTTTTGCATATCTCATTTCTTCATGAAATGAATCATTGTCAAGTGTCAATTCTTTTAATTCTTACACCACAAAATAAGTTTTCACGACTTGTTGTTGAGTATTGTCTATCTTCACCAGAAAAAGAAAAGATTTCCCTTTGCAGCTTGTCACTTTGTTGCTGAATTCATCCATGTCCTGTAGAAAGAAGAAATATAATTTAGAGCTATTGAGAAATTCGTAAGTATTTTTTTTATATTTAATTAAAATTTTATGAATAAGGGTGGGAAATTACCTCAATTTGTAATTGTAGTAAATCATCTAGTGAACAATTTATTAATGTTTGGCAATCATTGAACACTGTTAGGGTTGCAAGTGTTGCAACATGTTCCATACTTTGCACTTTCATTATCATCATTAATCTGCACATGAATAAAGACAAAGAATTATGTATTTGTAATATTATTAAACCATTGAAAATAATAAGGTTTTAAGATATAATAATACTTTTGAATGCATTTTGGGTCTATCGTGTTGTATCGAGAACAGTATACTCTATTTTTTTTAACTTTTATTTTCTTGTTGCATTTCTCACAGGCATCGTACCACGGTTCGCGGTCATTAATGATATTTTCAATTGTTTCTTCGAAACAGTAATTTGTTTTCTGTAGGTTGTGCAACAAAATATAACTTCTTAATATATAAATTGAATATAAAAATGTGATACACAATTAAGAAAGATTAAGAAATATACTGAAATTTAATACCTCAAAAGACATTGTAGATTTCCTATTATGTCTTGAAGTTTGACTTTTTCAGCACCATTGAATTTTTGATCTTTTGTACTGGAAATCAGACTTCTTATATCTTTGTTATTTATGTTCTCTTTGTATCTGTCCACATATAAATTATCTTGTAAAATAATTAAATAAATAAAATAGAAAAACATTTTCTCTTTCTACAAATAGTGTATATTTTGCACCAAGAAGTCTGCAATATAAAAATATAAAAACAAATATCATCTGGCATATATGTTTAGTTATATATGAACATGCTCAAAGAAAAAGATTACATATAACTTTTATATATATATATATATAACGTAAAAGAATTTGGAATAAATAACGAACCAATGCCTTAATGCTTTGACACTTTCAATATCCATATTGATTTGCAATGTAGATCCTTTTTGCATTTGAAGAGACAGGCCTGAAATATTACATTATTATTTGTAAAAGTTTGTTATTATAGATTTACTTAATAATATATATAATGCAAATAATATCAATTTGAATGATAATTTACCTTTGTAGGCGTTGATTGCCACATATGTCACTGTGATAATAGGTCTTTCTTGTATTAGTTCCATAATAAAGCTTCCTTCATTCTCAGCAAGATCCTCCCATAACATCAAAGTAGTTGACCTTGAACTGTAATAAAGATTAATTACTTTAGTCATTATATTATATTGGCATAATTCTGATTATATAAGTAATATAATAATAACGTACCTCATATCCATTATAATGACTTCCCGCTTTTTGGTTGTGCCTTTGTTATTCTTCTTACATATGTTCAATGTAGGAGATATCTCAATAACAGTTCCTAATGCATCTAGTCAGATTAAAAATAAAATAAAAAATAAGAAATTTTAATTTTAATTTTATATGTGTACAAGAGAGAACATATATATGAAGAGTTGAGAATTAAACGAAAACTAACCCATATTTTCTTTTGCATCAGTGTACTTGTTCAGCTCCTTGAAGTCCACAAAATTAAAGTTTATTATTTCTAAGCTTACTACTTCAAGCTCTTCAACTTCAATTGAGGTGTTATTAAGAAACTTCAATTCATACTCCTTGTGTACACTCCTATATAGGATTGACGTCTTTTACATTTACATTTGAAATTCTGTATGTCTTGTGAAGCAATAGTGAATCACTGAATTTGGTGACGAGCTCGTTAAATAAGACACCTTGAATTTGTGTCCCCTGAAAGAGTAAAAAAGATGTGTAAATGGATTAATAAGATCATTAAATAACAATGTTGCCATACAAATATAGATGCATTTAATGAAACTAACAGAAATAGCCGATGGTATACTTACATCATCATCCATCAGAACTACTTTCAACATTGTTCCTGATGTGTATTCCTCGATTGCTCTTCGAAGTACAACTACTTTTATTGTCGATTCTGTTTTTAAAGTAACAAGTGAATTTATTAACTCAAAGCTTTGGTGACCTTTCTTCATTTTCATGACTATTTCTGCATGATGAAAAGCAAAAAGAATTGAGGTTAAAGAAAATAAAATTGTGAAATAAGAATGATCGAGTATCAAAATAGAAATGAAAATTTTATATACATCAACAATAAGTTAAATCGAAGTTGATATTTTTTTATGTTTTAAAAAGAATAAAATTGTGAGTGAAAGATTTAAATATTGTAATAATTGGTAGCGAATGTGGGGTATCTTTACCTTTCAAACAATGCAAAATAATTTGGAATGGGAAGGCATGGATATTAATGTGGGTGTATTCTTACCTTTCAGACTGGAGAACCTCCTTATAGACAACATTTTTAGTGTATGTACCACCTCTAATGTTTGTTTGATCCTTCTTAACAAGTACTTTAGTAGTTGACATTGAAGTTCCTCTAGATAGTGCGACATATAATTGTCCATGAGAAAACACGTGCTCAGGTAGATAAACTCCAACATAAGGAATTGTTTAGCCCTGTGCCTTTTTTAGTGTCATTGCAAAACTCAACCGGATTGGAAACAATTTTCGTGTAAAATGGAAAGGCGTAGCTTCATTCTCTGCCGAGCATAGGGGTATTCTTGGAATCAGTACTTGTTTTCCAACATGTTGTCCATGGCTGATTTCTGCATTGATTACATTGGCCTTTGTTCCACGACAGATGAGCCTGGTACCATTACACAATCCATTTGTTGGATCCAAATTTCTTAACAACATTATAGGACAATCGACTTTCAACGTTAACTTATGTGGCAGGAGGCCATTTGGAGCCAATGAATTAAGGAAATCTTCTTGGTAATAGGTCCCGTATCATCAGTAGCTTTGTCAAAGCTATAATACGTAGTGGGTTCGCCTGGGAATTATTCAATGAGATTCTCATTCAATTTGTCAACGAAATCATTTTTGGTTGCCAAAATTGCTTGATTTAAAATATATTCCGCCGAGTGTGCATTTTCGAGGAGGTGGGGGAAAACAGCATTTATCAATTCTTTTTCTAAATCCTCCTCATTTGTAGATTTTATTACCATCTCGTTTAGCAATTTAATCATGTTGTCCACCAGAACTGGTTCTTCCCTACTGCTAACACGTAGTAGAAAATCTGCAAATGAAGGATCAATTCTTGCTCTCATGTGTTTGTTTCAGCTGTATCTTTTTTATCTTCTTCCATAAGTAAGATTTTACCAAACTTACTCCAATTGTTTCAGCCCGGGTCCCTCGAGGTACAACAGGCAATAGTTGTCGAAAGTCTCCACCAAAGACTGCTACTTTTCCTCCAAAAGGTTCCGTGGTACTGAGGAGATCTTGGAGAGTCCTGTCAACTACCTCAATTGCATAACGTTTAGCCATTGGAGCTTCATCCCAAATAATGACACTTGTTTTACGCATTAGCTCTGCTATTAAACTTTGCTTTAAAATGTTGCAAACTGCAGACTCGTTTGCTAATATTGGAATTTTAAATCTCGAATATGCGGTCCTGCCACCAGGTAAAATCAAAGATGCGACTCCTGAAGAAACAGTTGCAAGAGCTATCTTTTTTTCGGACCTGACCTTTGCTAGTATTGCATGATATAGATATGTTTTCCCAGTTCCGCCCGGGCCATCAATGAAGAAGATGCCGGGTTTGTTTGAAAGAACACATTCCACTATCATATCATATGCATTCTTTTGTTCAGCATTTAGAGTCACCACAGCATTGTAATCTTCAGAAGGCGTAACAATGGCATATTCATCATCAATCTCTTTGGTAAAACTGTGATTACATACATCACGGGACACTATATTTGGCAGGTCAAATTGTTTTACAGTTCGCCCCATGCTTATTAAGTAGCCATCTATACTCTTAAGAGCTTCATTGGCTCGATAACTTGCAGAGGAAGTACTTGTGCATGGAAAATCTTCTGACATTACATCAACATAGTCATCCCATAATTTTCTGACATTATTGGGCTCACAATAAACCAGTAGAGTAGCGAAAAGCCGGCGGAGTGCCGTTGGCATTTGGAAGCACACGGCGTCGTCAAGACATTCTACAATACTGTTATCACTTTCAAGAAAACCCCTTATTTGTGCTGATTCTTTAAATGTCGAACATTTCTCCCTACTA